AAGCAGGACAAGGTTTTCCTGCAGGCCGAGGTCGCCAACCTTCGGCAGAACAACCGGCGGCTGCAGCAGGAATCGTCGTCGGCCGCGCGGCAGCTCCGGCGCTTCGCTCGCATTTTCTCCGGGGCTGGAGCTCCTGATGAGTCCTGAATGGATCCCAGAAACTTTGGGATCTTTTGGGATCGATTTGGGGTCATTTGGGATCGATTTGGGGTCATTTGGGATCGTTTAGGATTGATTTGGGATCATTTGGGGCTCAGAAATCCCCATTGAACCCCAGGAATTCCCGTGGGATCGGCAGCTCCGGCGCTTCGCTCGCATTTTCTCCGGGGCCGGAGCTCCTGATGAGTCCTGAGCAAATCCCAGAAACTTTGGGATCTTTTGGGATCGATTTGGGGTCATTTGGGATGGATTTGGGATCATTTGGGATCGATTTGGGATCGTTTGGGGCTCAGAAATCCCCATTGAACCCCAGGAATCGTCGTCGGCCGCGCGGCAGCTCCGGCGCTTCGCTCGCATTTTCTCCGGGGCCGGAGCTCCTGATGAATCCTGAGCAAATCCCAGAAACTTTTAGGATCGATATGGGATAATTTGGGATCATTTGGGATCGATTTGGGATCGTTAGGGGCTCAGAAATCCCTTTGGAACCCCAGGAATCGTCGTCGGCCGCGCGGCAGCTCCGGCGCTTCGCTCGCATTTTCTCCGGGGCTGGAGCTCCTGATGAGTCCTGAGCAAATCCCAGAACTTTTGGGATCGATTTGGGATCTTTTGGGATCATTTAGGATCAGTTTGGGATCATTTGGGGTCCCTTAAGGCAGAGAAATCCCCATTGAACCCCAGGAATTCCCGCGGGAACCCCAGGAATTCCCGTGGGATCGGCAGCTCCGGTGCTTCGCTCGCATTTTCTCCGGGGCCGGAGCTCCTGATGAATCCTGAATGGATCCCAGAAACTTTCGGATCTTTTAGGATCGATTTGGGGTCATTTGGGATCGATTTGGGGTCATTTGGGATCGATTTGGGATCGTTTGGGGCTCAGAAATCCCCATTGAACCCCAGGAATTCCCGCGGGATCGGCGGCTCCGGTGGGATTTTCTCCAGTCCCGGAGCTCCTGATGAATCCTGAATGTATCCCGGAAACTTTGGGATTGATTTGGGATCGTTTGGGATCATTTGGGATCGATTTGGGGTCATTTGGGCTCCTTTAAGGCAGAGAAATCCCTTTGGAACCCCAGGAATTCCCGTGGGATCGGCGGCTCCGGTGGAATTTTCTCCAGTCCCGGAGCTCCTGATGAGTCCTGAATGAATCCCAGAAACTTTGGGATCTTTTTGGATTGGTTTGGGATCGATTTGGGATTATTTGGGATCGATTTGGGATCATTTGGGGCTCAGAAATCCCTTTGGAACCCCAGGAATTGTCGTCGGCCGCGCGGCAGCTCCGGCGTTTTGCTCGGATTTTCTCCGGGGCCGGAGCTCCTGATGAGTCCTGAGCAAATCCCAGAAACTTTGGGATCTTTTGGGATCGATTTGGGATCCATTTGGGATCGATTTGGGATCGTTTGGGATCGATTTGGGGTCCCTTAAGGGGATCCAGAGCTGTCAGAAGGTCCAGGACACTTCCCTGAGGATCCAGAACCTTCCATAGGGGACCAAAACCACCGAAATCATCCCTCGGGGTCCGGAACCTTCCAGAAGGGACCATGAGCTCCATATGGGACCGAGAACATCCAGAGAGGACCAGGACCATCCCTATGGATCCAGGCCCTTCCCTATAGATCTGGAACCTTCCATATGGGACCAAGAACATCCTGAGGATCCAGAACCTTCCATGTGGATCCAAGATTCCTCCTCAGGTTCCAGAACCTTCCATGTGGATCCAAGATTCCTCCTCAGGTTCCAGAACCTTCCATGTGGATCCAAGATTCCTCCTCAGGTTCCAGAACCTTCCAGAAGGGACCAAGACCATCCATAGGGGATCGAGCTCATCCCGGTGGATCCAGAACTTTCCATAAAAGATCTTTCCCATGGATCCCATGGAACATTCCAGAAGATTCCAGAACTTTCCATAAAAGACCTTTCCCATGGATCCCATGGAACTTTCCAGAGAATTCCAGAACTTTCCATAAAAGAACAAGA